CAAAGAAGTGGGATTTATTCCTACAGTACTTGAGTTCTTCCAATTTACCTCCTCCGCCAGTGGATTTGAGGTCTATTTTTGCGTTTATTTTGTCCAGAATGGACTTGGGACTCAGTTTTTCTTCAGTTAAGGTGTATTTAGCTGCGGTGTCAGCTTTTCATCCATCTATTGATGGGTTTTCAGTTTTCTCGCATCCTCAGACGAAACAGTTTTGTAAAGGTCTTATTCGCCTGTACCCTCCCCGTCGTTCTCCGACTCCGGCCTGGGATTTGGCTTTAGTTTTGCGGTTTTTGATGGGAAAACCCTTCGAACCACTGGCCACTTGCTCTCTAAAGTTGTTATCGCTCAAGACTGCGTTTCTGGTGGCCATTACTTCTGCTCGTCGAGTCAGTGAGTTGTCTGCTTTAAGGTGTGATCCACCATACTTGATTTTTTCCCCTCATGGGGTGTCGTTGTCTTTGGACATCTCCTTCTTACCGAAAGTCGTTTCGGAGTTTCATCTACGTTCAGATATAGTTTTGCCGTCATTTTTCCCGTCTCCTGCCAATGAAGAGGAACGGAAATTGCACTCTCTGGATGTTAAGAGGGCGTTGCTGTTCTATTTGGGCAGGACCAAGTCTTTTCGTCAGTCTCCAGCCTTGTTTGTTGCTCACAGTATGCCCTCCCTAGGGAAGAAGATCTCTTCCCAGACGCTGTCCAGGTGGATTGTGGAAGTAATCAAGCTATGTTACGCTTTGGCTAAGAGACCTCTTCCAGGTCAACTTCGCGCCCACTCTACAAGGGCGGTGGCGGCTTCCACAGCTTTCCTGAGAGGGATGCCATTGGAGGACATCTGCAACGCTGCGACTTGGGCTACTCCGCTCACCTTCGTGAAGCATTATGCCCTTGATGTCCGGTCTACTCGTCGTGTGGCGTTGGGTCGGTCTATCTTGCAGACGGCGCAGGTGTAGGGCCTCGGCCCCTCCTCCAGGTAAGAGTTATTGCTTGCTATTCTCCCAAGGGTGTGATGCACAGAGACCACGAAGAAGATAGACAGGTTGCTTACCTGTAACTGGTGATCTTCGAGTGGTCATCTGTGCATTCACACCACCCGCCCTCCTTCCCCTCTGCTCTCGGCCCTTCATCTTGTTTCTTTGAAGGCTGTTGGGCGGCGGTCAGAAGGAACTGGCGGGATCTGCGTGCCCCTCCTTGGTCATGCGCAGTGGAGTCGGCGCGTGACCTGGGAGAGGCGCGAAAATCCCTTTTTGCTAGCTATCGGTACCGAGAAGGTTCAGCGCAGGCGCAGTGTATCCCAAGGGTGTGAATGCACAGATGACCACTCGAAGATCACCAGTTACAGGTAAGCAACCTGTCTTTCCATTTCCTTCCTAATCCTAAACAGTTTCTGAAATATAGGCAGTACTCCTTCCCCAAAAAGCAATCATTCCCCCCAAAGGACGGTTATAATTCCAACACTCATATCAGTTTTGTGCATTCTGTTCTGCTTCTGAAGAATAGGATACATTGGATAAAGGCTTTTTAAAATTGTGTTGCCTTTAGATTCAAGCATAACGGTTGTTAGTCCAGTTTATGAAATGTTGGGTAAACTGGCACGGGAGTGGGAAGAGAGCGAAAGGGCTGACGGTGGCATTGAGAGGTTGCTGTTGGCATGTCCATTTTTAGTGAAAACTGAAACCCAAAGAACCATTTCCTTTAAGGGAGTATTGAGGAGTTTCTTGAGGTTGGGAATGAGCTCCATGAGGGACGGGAACCTGACTTTTGTCTGCTTTTGTGTCCTCGCCGGTCAGTTTTCAGTTGGAGCTGAAATTGCTTGCGCTTGCTGTTCTGCTTGCTTGTTTTCACTTCAAAATGTAGGAAAGCCTCCGAAACATGCAGAAGCTGTTCAGCGCTTTAGCAGAAGTTGAATCCCAGATGCCCTTCCTGACAAAACAGGAAGTCCAGCGGGGGACACGGTGTATGGCAGAGTGCATTCTGGGGAAAGAAGGCGGAGCCTGGAACAGGTGAAAGAAATACAAGGAAATGCTTGAGTGAGGGGTGGTGAGCGGCGATTGACCAAGAAAGGCTGAGATGGGAGGTGGTCTGGGTTTATCTGGCCCAGCATGCTGTTAACTGCAGTGGGCAAGCAGATGTCCCCGTAAACCCAAAGCAGGGGCACAGAGCCAAAGCCTTTCCGTGGTGTTGCCCCTTCAACCCCAAACGGCTGTTACCGAGAAGTACACACTTCTTCTGAACGCTGTGTCTGTGTTTGGCCCTTGATGGACAGTAAGCTGTGAAAAGATGTATCCTCCATGAATTTCAAAACCAAGCAAAGGTTAGTGGAAAGGAGGGCCAAAATTAAAACCTTTTCATAAAAAGAGGTACATGTATTTATTGATAATATCAAATTAAAACATATATAGGGGCCCAATTACAACCAATATATATATAAAACATAACCATAACCAGGGCTAAAAGAGTTGACCTGACGCGTTTCGGCCGAATCGGCCTTCCTCAGAGGTCATACAAATGTGGCTAGATGGTAAATAGTTACATTTTACTTGTGAATATTGTGGCAACACAATTAAAGAAGGTTATTTGTGGACCATAGGTGGATTTTATAATCACTGGGCTAGTGATTGCACTAAAAAGGTTTCATGTGCATATTTATCCTGTGCCTGGTTACTTTACTTCTGAACAATTTACTTTATGGTCCTTATTGAATTTGTATTTTGTATATATTCCTGATTGTGTATTTATGAATGTAACTATTTACCATCTAGCCACATTTGTATGACCTCTGAGGAAGGCCGATTCGGCCGAAACGCGTCAGGTCAACTCTTTTAGCCCTGGTTATGGTTATGATACAGAGTCTACCATTTTCTCCAGAGGAACTGATCTTTGCTACCTGAAGACTGGTTGGTTTTAATTTTGGCCCTCCTTTCCACTAACCTTTGCTTGGTTTTGGAGTTCTTTGTTAGGTTTAGTTTCTTTCCCTTTCTTGTTCCTCCATGAATTTGCCACCTCTGAAAAGAGAATTAACCGAAGCTCATGGCAGTTACTTGCTACATCTTGTGTCAGCGAGTTCCATAAGTTAATCTTCTCCCTTTCTCACAATACAAGAACTCGTGGGCACTAATTGAAATCGCTGAGCGGTCAGGTTAGAACGGATAAAAGGAAGTCCTTCTTCACCCAAAGAGTGATTAACACATGGAATTCACTGCCACAGGAGGTGGTGGCGGCTACAAGCATGGACGGCTTCAAGAGGGAATTAGATAAACATATGGAGCAGAGGGGAACTCTCAGTCTGGGGCAAGTGATGCTGTGTATTCTTGGTGCTTGGGGGGGTGGGGGCAACAGTGGGAGGGCTTCTAGTGTCCTGGCCCCACTGCTGGACCTCCTGATGGCACCTGGTATTTTTGGCCACTGTGTGACCCAGAGTGTTGGACTGGATGGGCCATTGGCCTGATCCAACATTGGCTTCTCTTATGTTCTTATGTTTTAAGAACATAAGAAGAACCTTACTGAATGGGACCAGTGAGGGTCCATCTAGTCCAGCATCCTGCCTCACACAGTGGCCTCAGCCAGTTCCTTTGGAAGGCCGACAACAGGGCAGAGAGGCTGAGGCCTTCCCCTCATAAGAACATAAGAAGAGTCCTGCTGGATCAGACCAGTGAGGGTCCCTCTAGTCCAGCATCCCATCTCACACAGTGGCCTCAACCAGTTCCTCTAGAGGGCCAACAACAGGGCAGAGAGGCTGAGGCCTTCCCCTCATAAGAACATCAGAAGAGCCCTGCTGGGTCAGACCAGTGAGGGTCCATCTAGTCCAGCATCCTGCCTCACACAGCGGCCTCAGCCAGTTCCTCCGGAGGGCAGAGAGCAGGGGTGGCCAAACTTGCTTAATGAAAGAGCCACATAGAATAAATGTCAGATGTTTGAGAGCCAGAAGATATGAACAAACACGACACGTTTTTACTGGGAAATATGCAGATTTGTTCTTTATTAACATTAAATAAGACTGCCAGAAATAATAACAAAAGCGGTAAAAGCAGATATTGATAATGATATTTATCTGTCCAGTGATATTTGTTTGCTAATGATATTTAGCTTCCCCAGCCGCCCTGCTGGGAGCCACACAATATGTGGGAAAGAGCCGCATGTGGCTCCCGAGCCACAGTTTGGCCACCCCTGGCATAGAGGCTGAGGGCTTCCCCTCATAAGAACACAAGAAAAGCCCTGTTTCAGCCCAGTGGTCCATCTAGTCCAGCATCCTGTCTCACACAGTGCCCTCAACCAGTTTCTCTGGAGGGCTGACAACAGGGCAGAGAGGCCTTCCCCTCCTAAGGACACAAGAAGAGCCCTGCTGGGTCAGACCAGTGAGGGTCCATCTAGTCCAGCATCCCGCCTCACACGGTGGCCTCATCCAGTTCCTCTGGACTGCCAACGACAGGGCAGAGAGGCCGAGGCCTTCCCCTCATAAGACTGTAAGAAGAGCCCTGCTGGATTAGACCAGTGAGGGACCATCTAGTCCAGCATCCCCTCTCACGCAGTGGCCTCAACCAGTTCCTCTGGGGGGCCAACAACAGGGCAGAGAGGCCGAGGCCTTCCCCTAATGTTGCCTTCTGGCTCTGGGATTCAGAGGCTTAGTGACTCTGAATGTGGAGGTTCCCCTCAGCCACCAGGGCTAGTAGCCATTGACAGACATGTCCTCCATGAATCTGGCTAATCCCCTTTTAAGACTTCATTCCTGTGACCATCACGACAGCCTCTGAATTCGACGTTTTAATCACTCTCCCAGTAAAGAAGGATCTCCTCTCGTCCGCCTTCAGCTTAAGGAAATGGTTTCTTTTGTCATTCTTCTGACTCTGCTATCCCTCAACATCACTGGGTGCTCCTGAATTCCACTATTAGGAGGAAGGAGAGTTTCCTCTCCGCTTTCTCCACCCTGTGCATAAATTTATAAACCTCGATTCTGTCCCCATTAGCGGTCTTTCCCCCCCCCCAACTTAAAAGCCCCCAACCCTGTAGCCTGCCTTCATAGAGAAGGTGTTCCATGCCTCGATCGCTTTGTCATGAATGTATTCTATTACATTTTTTTTTTACAAAATTCTGCCTTGCTCCCAAAGTGACCTGGGTAGTATGTGTGGCTCTCCCCTCCTCCACTGCAATAATAGCTAAACAAAACCTCCATGTTCTCAAGCACTCTACCTTTTGAGTTCTGGAGGCTGTGGAGGAACACTGGGGCCAGGCTGCTTCCTTCAGGATCTCACTGTGAATCTCCCCGGAGCACCCGTCTGATCACTGTCGGGGGCAGGATCCCGAGATAACGGAATGGCCTTTTGGCCGGTTGCTCTCTTCCAGGTGCTGGGTTTTGGACAAGGTGGGGAACTTGGCCATGGTGTTCTTTGTGGATTTCGGCCGCTCGGCCACCGTCCCGCTGAACGCCCTGCGGAGGCTGGACAAGGATGACTTCTGGACGATCCAGCCTTTGGCACAGCCGTTCGTGCTCCACAAAGGTAGGCAGCGGGTATGCCCAGCTTTTTCAGCACGATCCGCTTCAGAGGACCATGTCCCAGTTGAGATTGTATGCAGTAGGAGAATCACACTGTCACGATTGGTGTTCCTCCCTAGACCCGAGTGTCCCGTTGCCGTTGTGAGACCGCTTGTCGCTTTGAAACTGGCACCTCAGAATGCGAACGGGCCGGGTATTCCGCTCATACACCAGCTTCCGTTCCTGGTTTTCGGTCGTGCGCACGCCCTCTCTCTCTCTCTTGCTGCTCACGATCCGTTCCAGCTTCCTCTCTGGTGCCTTCCGTTTCTCCACTTTATTAGTCTCACAATCAACATCTGCTACAAATAACAATCTTCCCCATGTGTTTCCCATCCACCCCGGTCCCTAGTTGTGTTTTCCTGTTTCACGTGTATCTCTGTTCTCTGTATCCCGGCTTTAGGAGTGTGAGAGGTAGCGGCTCGCTCGGTGCCTTCCTCGTTGAATCCCGTACCAACGGCTGGTAAAGGGTCTCGTATGTTCACTCGAGCTCGTCCCTTCCGTGGTTTCGAACCATGTCCTCCCTGGCCCCCAAATGCGACTCCCGAACCTCGTTCCTCTGTGGGTGGTCTCGAGGAAGTCGGCGCGAGTCGCGCCAGTCCCGCCGCAGCGGACACACACCTCCAAAGGTTTAAAGAAAAAAGAAAAAACAAGCTGTATGCAAGCGCTATTCAGAATCAATGCTCAAAACACATGGGGATTTTTTTTTTTAAGTGCTGATGTCAAACCATGTATAAATGACGGCGTTACAAAGAAGGACAGGAGGTCCAAAAAGGTGCAGGTTGACAAAGTTTTCCGGAATACAACTCCGTTTCGACTGGCTTCATCTGAACAGGACCTTGTGGAACAGTAAGATGTCTTCTAAGTTTCGTTCATCATAAAGTATGATAGCGAACATCGTATCAGTTTGGTGTAGTGGTTAAGTACGCGGACTCTAGTCTGGGAGAACCGGGTTTGATTCCCCACTCCTCCATTTGCACCTGGCTGGATGACCTTGGGCAAGCCATAGCTCTGATAAGAGCTGTCCTTGAAAAAGTTCTGTCTCTGACATAACTTCTGTCAGAGCTCTCTCAGCCCCCCCACCTCACAGGGTGTCTGTTGTGGGGAGGGGGAAGGGAAAGGAGTTTGTAAACCGCTCTGAGACTCCTTTGGGTAGTGAAGGGCGGGGTATAAATCCAATCTCTTCTCTTCTTCTTTTACCTCACAGGGTGTCTGTTGTGGGGAGGGGGAAGGGAAAGGAGTTTGTAAACCGCTCTGAGACTCCTTTGGGTAGTGAAGGGCGGGGTATAAATCCAATCTCCTCTTCTTCTTCTTTTCCCTCACAGGGTGTCTGTTGTGGGGGGGGGGAGGGAAAGGAGTCTGTAAGCCGCTCTGAGACTCCTTTGGGTAGTGAAGGGCGGGGTATAAATCCAATCTCTTCTCTTCTTCTTTTACCTCACAGGGTGTCTGTTGTGGGGAGGGGAAGGGAAAGGAGTTTGTAAACCGCTCTGAGACTCCTTTGGGTAGTGAAGGGCAGGGTATAAATCCAATCTCCTCCTCTTCTTTTACCTCACAGGGTGTCTGTTGTGGAGAGGGGGAAGGGAAAGGAGTTTGTAAGCCGCTCTGAGACTCCCTTGGGTAGTGAAGGGCAGGGTATAAATCCAATCTCTTTTCTTCTTCTTCTTTTACCTCACAGGGTGTCTGTTGTGGGGAGGGGAAGGGAAAGGAGTTTGTAAGCCGCTCTGAGACTCCTTTGGGCAGTGAAGGGCAGGGTATAAATCCAATCTCTTCTTCTTCTTCTCCATAAAACTCTCATCATGCTTTAGTGCTCTATTCTACAGTTGCAGTGAAATATTCCAAAGAGACATTCAGAAAGGAGGACAGACATCAGCACTAAAAAATCCCCCCCCCCCCATGTGTTTTGAGCACTGATTCGGACTCGCGCTTGCATACAGCTTGTTTTTTCCAGTTGAAATTGTAACAGAATATACACCTGAAACAAAATGTAATCAGATCTGTCCTTTGAGAAAGTGTGTGGGAAAACACGTTTGCAATAAGCTAGCCTTCACGTCAGAGCAAGAAGGAAGATCTGTATGGTGAAATAATTTTTGGTGAACTCAGTTTGAACACCTAAAACAGTTGTTCTTAATAGTGTGGCTTGGAACTACTAGACTCACACTTCCATACATCCTCTGAAGAAGATATTTTGTGTGTTATTCATCTGTATGGTACAGTCCTTGTGTGCATACAGTATTGAAGTGTGCATTAATTTGCTTATAATGAGAAGAATATTTGGGTTTTGTGTACCGTGTTGGTGCACAGTTCTTTTTTGTTTATTGGTCTACACTCTACGCAGGCAGGCAGGAAAGAAAGAGGCTGTCCCAAAAATAGCCGGTCACCGAGACCCGAGTGCCGTGTGACGGAGTGAGCTCCCGTCTCTGGCCCCAGCTCCTGCCAGCCTAGCAGTTCGAAAGCAAGAAATTGCAAGCAGATAAATAGATATCGCTTCAGTGGGAAGGTAACAGCGTTCAGTGTGCCTCGGCGTCTAGTCATGCTGGCCCCATGACCACGGAAACGTCTTCGGACAGCGCTGGCTCTTCGGCTTGGAAATGGAGATGAGCACAGCATCCCTATAGCCGAATTTGACTGGCTTTCGAGCAAGGGAAACCTTTATCTTATCTCAGCTGGTCCCCGTGCGGACAGTGAAACCCACGCAACAGAACCTGTCACAAATGCAACCCTCTCCTCGTAGTTAGGAAAATTTGACTTGCTTTCTCTGAGCTCTCTTTGGGGCAAGAACTTGTCCTGGGTAGCCACTGCTGACCAGTGAGCATGCTTGGGCTGCCAAAACCAGGTCCAAAGACTCGATAGACCTCAGGAGCCATACTGGCTGCTGTATCAACCCCTCCCATGTCCAAAACATCAGCGTCGAATTGTGCTGGAGGACATTGTTGGAGACTGGAATGGTGATGGGTGGACATGAAGGGCCTGTGAGGAGAATTCCAGCCTCTCCTTTAGCCCCCCCCCCCCTTAATGAAAACTCAGCCTGAGGAAGAATGTTGTGGAGCCAAAAAGCCAGCTCGCTTCTGTGTGGCTTTGAAGGTTTGACATTTCGTCCGCACAGCGGAAACCTGATGACTCTTCGGTGCCACTTGCAGGCAAGGCAGGGCGGTGCGCTTTGAAATCGGGCTCAGCCAAATGTTTGACCTGGAATGGTTTCAGGGGAAAAGGTCATGAGCAATGCTCCCTCTAAGCTGTGGAGTCTTGTGAGCAGAAATCCTGCTTTGTGAGCTCCTGGCATTAAAGTTGTGAGCAAACGATTTGGCTGCTGCATCAATTAGTTTGCTCTGGAGCCATTCTTCCTGAGCTAAGGAAAAAACGTGTGAGCCGGAGGCTAAAAAACTGTGACCTAGCTCACACTCACTCAGATTAGAGGGAACACTGGTCATGAGTCTAGAGGGGGTTGTTCGGAGGGAGTATTCTCCCCCTCCCCTGACCCTTACCCCTCCCCTATATGCTAGCATGAATTCAGGGCTTTGAATCCCCCCCCCTTTCCTTTTTAACTCATTCTTTTCCTCCACACTGTACAGCTCGACAAGTAGCCAATAAGGTTTGGCTGTGGGCCGATGTCATGAAGGGCAAACGATGTCAGGGCTGAATACGCCCTCAGTGACATCAGTTTGCCCTCGGTGACTCTGGAGTTCAAAAGGAAGGGATTATTTTAAAAGAAAACCCAGCAGCTTGTTGGTGCTATGAAAAAGATGTGCTTCCTCTGTTTTTTAGAGCCACGCAGCCAGCAAAGAGGGTAGGGTTGTCTTTGCCCTGAAGGCACAGTTGACCATGAAACTGATCTTGGGGTGTGTGGCTGCCCCTTTGGTGGAGGGCTGTGTAGAAACATTCCCCCCACATCTCCGTGTAATTCCTTCCAAAATCAATGGCTAAGGAGAGGCTGGCTCTGCCAAGTCCTTTATACATTGAGACGGGGGTGTGACTTCGGGCCAGAAAGAACTCTGCACATCCTCAGGAGCCCCCTTCTCTGCAGCCACTCACCAAGGTCCTGGCCAGTGCTCCCTCTAAGCTGTGGAGTCTTGTGAGCAAAAATCCTACTTTGGGAGCTACTGGCATAAAAGCTGTGAGCGAGCGATTTGGCTGCTGCATCAATTAGTTTGCTCTGGAGCCCTCCTTCCTGACCGAAGACAAAAACGTGTGAGCCGGAGGCTAAAAAACTGTGAGCTAGCTCACACTAACTCAGCTTAGAGGGAACACTGGCCTTGGCCGCCTTAAGTTCTACAGTTGAAGGGAATCTTGGCACTCGTGGGTCGGGCAACGGACTGGAACGAGTGGGTGGCCCCCATCACTGAGCCTGGTGCGTCTCTGTGCCCCACTTTTGAGCCCAGCCCCCCAACAGCTACTGGTGTTGACTGCCAGTGGACCCTCAGAGCAGCCCTGTAGCCAGAAATTTTGGGTTGGTGGGGTTGGTGGGGCATGGGGAGATGTTGTGAGGCAGCAGGGGAGGAAGGAGGGAGAGGAGTGGCCGCGTGCCTTCCTTGGACTCCAAGCGGCGATTTTTCTGCAAGCCTGATCAGCTGGAGGGCCCTTTAAATCAGGGGGTGTCAAGCATGCAGCCCGGGGGACCGGATCAGGCCCCCCCGGAGGGCCTCTGTCAGGCCCGCGGTAGAACTGGCTGTCTTCTGCTTCGTCTTCCAGTTCTGCTGCTGCTGCGTCATCGTAGGTTTGCAGCTGACAGATGCACACCTGAAGCAGCGTTCCCTCTAAGCTGAGCTAGTGTGAGCTAGCTCACAGTTTTTTAGCCTCCAGCTCACACATTTTTTGTCTTAGCTCAGGAAGGAGGGCTCCAGGGGAAACTAATTTATGCAGCGGCCGAATCACTCGCTCACAACTTTAATGCCAGTAGCTCACAAAGTAGAATTTTTGCTCACAAGACTCCACAGCTTAGAGGGAACATTGACCTGAAGAGCAGACTCAAGACTGCAACAGCACAGACATTTTGATGCAGTAACTCAGAGCAAGAGGTGTCAGTTATCAGACACGGTTAGATAAACAAAATATGGCAAGAGTGCTCATGTTTTAAGCATGTTTTTGTTTTAAGTTAAAAAAAAACAACCCTTTGTGTTTGTATCCTTTATAAAGTTTATATCTCTGCTACCTGGCGTTACATTTTGTGACACACACGGCCTGGCCCAACAAAGGTCTCATGTATGTCAGATCCGGCCCTCATAACAAATGAGTTCGACACCCCTGCTTTAAATCTTGGAGGAGGGGAGGGAGGAGGGCGGCTGCAAGACTTAAAGGGCCCTCCAGCTGATTGGCGGGCCACGTGCACCTGCTGATCAGCTGGAGGCCCTTTGAATGTCACAGGAGGGGGGAGAGGGGCGGCAGCTGTTGTGGGGGTGGAGCCCCAAAATGCCCCACTGTAGA